CTTTTTTAATGTTCTCCATCACATCCGGATACAGAAATCAACTCACCAGGGAGAAGGCGTTGATGGTGTGGTACATGGGGCTCTGTCGTGGCACCGTGCTCCGATAGCGCAGTAGCATGAGAAGGCAAGCCAGGCCGTTCAGCAGAGAGGCCAACGCGGATGCCGGCTCCTCAAAACACAAGAAGCGTGCAAACGGCCACTGTAGGGAAAAAATAATTCGTCCATAATTTCAGATTTGACTGAAATCAATGAAATCTCACAGAATACATAAAAGTGGACAGCATATCCTTTATTGATCAACCTTGGGTAGGTAGTAACAAACCTTGCCGTGGAACTGTGGGACCCTGTACCCCTCAGCCTGGTAAAGGCCGACTGTGGTCCACATGCACTGATAGCGGCAGTCATCACGGCATGTCCAACCTGAACAAAGAGAGGAGCCGAGTGCAAGCACGTCAGAGCTGCAAATTTTGGTATTGATCGGATACAACTAAATACAGGGCCAGCATTGTTGACACCAATAACGATATCTGAATCATTATTAATTTGCAAACTCTGAACATAGTTTAATGACCATTAAATCGCTGTAATTTTTTTTTAAATTTCTACAAAAATTAGTTAACACAATTCAAATAAACTCAACTTTACTTGTAGCACCCAGTCACGACAACAGTTGAATTAAGGTGCTTTATATTGCAAGGTAAACGCCCTACAATAATACAGAGAAAACCCCAACAATCAACCTTATGAGCACTTTGGTGACATTGGGAAGGAAAAACTCCCTTTTAACAGGAAGAAACCTCCAGCAGACACAACAAAAGACATCTTTCAGATTTTCATGTAATTTGAAACCAGGTGTTTTGGAAACCTGGAATGCAAATGTGCCTGTCTCTACATCATGTTGGGTCAGAGTCTGTTGTTTAAATGTGCTATAGGCTATAAGTCAAATAGACGTGCCAGACAACACAACAAGATTCACACGTTTTTTGTTTGGTTTATTTATAGCCCATACTTGAGGTGTATTTTGTCAATAAAATAAGCATGGAAGCGGTTTCAATTCTTGTATAGCAGTGAATAAACTTAAATACACAAGCAACTACAAAAGGCATTCCCTGGATATTTTATACAACTTTAAGCATAGAGGTAAAAGAAAACAATTAATTAAATATTTAAAGGGGTTGCCTTTTGGCTAACTAGTTGTGTAGACACAGCACAGAAAAGATAATAATGGCAGAAGGGTGGGGTGACAATAGAGCTGTTGGGAGAGCTTGACCAGCGTGAAAATCTGGTTTTTAGTGTTGAAGGCCATGAAACAAGGTCACAGTTTTCTTTTTAAAGGCATGTGAAGACTAAAAGTCACACATGTAAGCATCAGTGCAAAGCACCTGCATGCACGAGTGACTATAATGAATGTAAACAGCAAATTAATGGGGGTCAGTTAGCAAATGTTGCTATACAGATATATGCATGTACGAGTTGCCACAATATTGATAAGCACTGATGGAAAAATCTATTGCTAGCAAGGTAAGTTAGCTTAACTTACCTGCAGACAAGAGCAACTCACCTGTCAGCGCCATGTACTGCGGCTGGGCAGACAGGAAGCCGTTTAGCCGAGCTCCGGTGCAGTTTGCGCGGATACACTGCTTCACACAGTCTCGGTAAACCGGCTCCTTGTCGCCTTGAGAGGATTGCACAGTGGTCACCGACATCAGGAGCAAGAGGACGGTGACCACAGCGGGGAGTGTGACAGATGTGCCGCGGAGTGAAACCACAGAGGCCATGGCGGTTCTTCTGGGCCCGTCAGGATTCACGAAGGCACGACCGGACGACAGCGGCGTGAAGCCTACAGCGCGCATCACCACGGGGCCATCCCCAGTTTGTGCGGACAAACCAGGCCTGAAATGTGTTACAGTACCGCTGATGGACCGGGAAATGCCCACTCTTCCTCTGCTCCCCTGAGCACAGCCAAGTTTCAAACTCGAACAGCGTTTCCTGTCGACATTTCAAAATTAAAACAACTTTCCCGGAAGCGTATTTACTCAAGTTGTAGTAGCCTATATCATACAGGTCTCAGCTAGTATAACTTACCAAAATTCTTCTCATAAACATAATTTCTACATCGTAATACGGCTTATTTGATAAATTCTGGCTACTATCTTAAGATTGGTTGCTTTTATTTTGAAGGAGGTAAGTTTTGTCGCAAAAACCTTTACATCCTGATTCAGTCCGCAACGTCACCAGGTCACGTGACCCATTGATCTTTTGATTTTTAAATAATAATATTAATGTAATATAATAATAATGTAAAGTATAATATATAAAATTGTTATGATAATAATAATAATATGTTTATTTTATTGCATATAATACTAACCATTTGTTACCATTTGTTTTTCAATTTTTAGTTTTATAATTTCTCTAATTCATTTTTTCTTCCTGTCCTTTGTACTGCTGCTGTAACAAATGAATTTCTCCAATGATGGATTAAATAACGTTTATGTATAATAGTTTATTATTATTATTATTATTATTATTATTATTATTATTATTATTATTATTATTATTATCATAACAACAATAATAGTAATATCAGAAACTGCACCAGATTTGTCTGGGATTCATTCATGACAGGAATTCATTAATATATTTAGATTTTATTTTTTGCAAAAGTTTTTTTCCTTTCCTGGAAATGAAAATGGGAATTCCATTTTTTAGTCTAAATGAGGTATTACACTGCAGGCAGGCCAGTTTAGCATCCAGACTCTTTCCCTTCAGAGGTGTGTTGTTGGAATCATTGCAGAGTGTTTATCATCTTAATGGTTTTATATAGCTTTCCAAAACATGTATCATTCAGCTTTAATGGTCCCTTCACAGATATATAGCTTGTCTGTTGCACGTGCACTGATCCAGCTGTGCGCCAATAACAAACCAGCTTGGTGAGATCCACTTTTTCCACTTTTCACTGACTCTGTCGTAAAGAGCTCATGGCTGGGAAGATGAGGCCATTTCTCAACAATGTTTAAATACTTCCATTTCTTTCTTTTCATGATTGAGTTTTATTTTGCAGTGCAGTGTCAAACTGTGCTCACTGACAGTGACAGCAGATTTTCTTTTTCACAACCGATTGCCATGGTTTTCACTAGGAAATCACGTCTGCTGCTTGCCACAGCATTTTGTTTTGTTTTTTGGTCTTATCTCCAAATATTTTGAATCTTCTGATAATATAAATAACTGTAGATGGTGTCTTCATGCATGCTCAATCAACCAGATTAGTGAATCCCAAAAGGTTGATTCTGTTTATCTGAACGTAGCGTCGTCAGTGGGAGAAACGTTTCGTAACTCATCCAAGTGACTTCTTCAGTCTCAGCTGAGACTGCAACTGACGGAAGAAGTCACTTGGATGAGTTACAAAACGTTTCTCCCACTGACGATGCTACGTTCAGATAAACAGAATCAACCTTTTGGGAACTGTAGATAGTCTTCTTCTACCATCATTTTTCCCTTTAGGTGTCTCCATGGATCATCTGCCGCCATCTCACCCTAAAGCTAGCATCCTCTTAAGACACCCCAACCCTCTGTATGTCTTTTTATTGGAACCTTCTCGATAGATCTCCCTTTTTTCCTCCTGGCTGGCAGTGTCATAGTCACTATCCTTTATCCAATATATGACACACAATATGTCTGCCTTTATTCTCTCTATCATATCAGCCAGCTCTCTCCCTTTCTCCTAATTCCTACATTTAAAGTCCCTACTCACCATCTCCACACTCCTGCCTCTCCTTCTCCCCCTGCTGCCTCCTAACACCTTCACCCTGTTGTCTTCCTTTGTCTTTGGCCATCAGTGGCTCAATTTCCACTGGCACCCCACTGGCCAACAGTACCAGAGGTGGTTGTTAATAACCTGGACCCCAACCGATCCGGCGTCTAAATCTTGTTCTTTTTGATCTGGTTGGGGGTGGGGGTTCAAAATTCCCAAATTCTTTGCATTTCTGTCTCAAGAAAAACGATTCAAAATTCTGGAACTTTCTGTATAATATTATAAATTTAATATGTGAGTTTAAATCATTTGAAAATCTGATTTTGTCGCTATTTTATCCAACAACTTTTGGTTTTACTACTCACAGGGTGTCACATTTATTGGAATCAAGGATTGAAGTAGATTCAAAGGTAGACTACAGTTCTTCTGCTTACTATGTTGGTTTGTACCTTTACCCTGAAAATGTGGCACCCACCCCTGATTTGGGATCATAGATTTATATTGAGAAATGGGATGATGGATAAAGTTCACACTGATAATGCTTCACCATATGCATAATACAGTCAGTCGGTGCTCCACAGTCACCCGGCAGTCCTTTCACCCGCGCTCCCACTTAAACCAAGAGACACAGTGTGGTACGAAAGATAGTGGATTTTATTTGTACTTCTTTATTTGTTACAGTGGAGACACAGACACAGTCACAGCAGCAGGAGTGGAAACAGCAGTGAGGGTGAGGTGGGGGGAAAGAAAAATCAAAAACAAAGCTGTTTTGCTTTTGTTTAGCTTTTTTATGCCCAACCACTGTCTTTCACCATCTCTTTCTCTATTTACAAGACTTTTAAAATCGTGCTTTCCTCTTATTACTGTAACCTTTCCTTTCGTACCTGTGTTTAAGAGAGTGACAAAATAAAAGAGAGGGGTAGGCAAACTATTATAGCGCAGTACTCCCACTCTTTTACTGTGCACTCCTGGCTGGTACAAACAGAAGGAGGGATCCATTAAACACTCTGTGCCCGGTTGAGACTAACAGACCGCCGGGGCCAGACTGCTCGCCTGTTTCAAGCAAGTGACTGTGCATGCACCACAGCACCCAAGAGACGTTTTGACCAACCACACTGAACTGCATATGCATATATATGTAGGAATGATGCATGCACTGTTGGCCTCAACACAGGAGGACAGAATGAGTCATGGGCGAGGAGGGGAGGGAAAAGATGGAGGAAGAAGAGGCAGGGACAGAGATAGAGAGAGTGTTTCGGTGTCACAAGATTATTTTTTATTGAAAATAATCCCATGTTCCCCTGTTGGTACTCACACACAAACACCCCCACAGCCTCCCGTCCTCTCACTGAACATCTCGATAGAGGAGACAAGTCTTTTCGTAAGAAGAAAGAGCCGACCCGGGCGCGAGTGTGTGCGAGGAGGATGTTTCATTGGTGGAGAGGAGGAAGAATTAAGGGTATGGACAAGTGTGGGTTTCAATAGAGGTAAGAGATGTCGAGGATTTATTCCTCCTTCTCCTCTCCGTGTGTGATGACGTAGCAGATGTTCTTGTAGTCAACGTTGCCAGCCACATCAGGGGGGAAGGCAGCCCAGAGGTTCTTCATCTGCAGATGAAGAGGAAATGAAGAAATGCGTTACAGCCTGGCAAAAAACAAGGGCCAAATCGTGCTGCAAGTCCGATGAGCTCACCTCCTCAGCGGTGAACCTGTCGCACTGGGTGGTCAAGAGCTCCTCGAGGCTGGAGAGGGAAAACGCAGGAAATTTAAGATTAAGATGAAAGATTACAGCAGGAAGAGATGGAAGATAAACGCAAATAAGCTTACAATTCCTTCTTGATGCTGCCAGTGCCCTCGGGGTCCAGGACCTTGAAAGCGCTCACGATGACGTCCTCAGGATCAGCACCTATGAAAACAAAGGCATAGAAAAAAATAATAATTCAGAATTATGTTAATCACATAACATTAAGTGTTTAGATAAATAACAACCATCACCTTACAGCACCAAGTATTTCATGAAATAGAATACAAAGGACAACTGATATGTGCCAACACACCCTTCAGCTTCTCGCCGAACATTGTCAGGAACACGGTGAAGTTGATGGGGCCGCTGGCCTCCTTCACCATGGCCTCCAGCTCCTCATTCTTCACATTCAGCTGACCCATGGTGGCCAGCACGTCCCTGAGGTCGTCCTTGCTGATGATGCCATCTCTGTTCTGGTCGATGATTGTGAAAGCCTGGCACAGACCGGGAGATTAGTCAGAGTTCAGCCAAACTTCAGCTAAAATAACACTTAATTAAAACCAGTGAAAACTGAGATTCTCACATTTCTCACAAGTCCTTGTTATCCAGCTTGTTTTTCATGATTATTTGTGCGAGGCACTCTGCCAATGTAAATGTGTAACTGTGGAGCAGTTAGCTCCTTCTCCTTCCACATAGGAGGGCGTATCACCCAATGAAACCAAAGATGGCATTGCAAACCTTTTGGGACTTGGCAGCTGGTCAGCCACTTGTCTTTCTAAGGTGTTAAAATGGCTTGGGAATGTGAGACAAGCCCTTTGCGACATTTAAGGAGAAGGTATTGATTGCAGCTGTCATCCTTTTGCCTTGTGACTAAATCTTATGACCATGTTACCAATGTTCTCTCTGCTTCTGAGGCCTCTTAAGGTCCTGCCAAGCTACTGTTGACATTGTATTGTCTTTCATTTAGATCTGTTACTGAAGAAAACCCCTACAAATGAATCCTGATTTCTATAATCTACTGATAACGACACTATTTACCTTGTTGATCACAGTGCTAAAACCCCCCAAATTCCTTCAGTTTCAACCCTGAGCTCCCCTTCCCCTGTGCACCAGCTGTTGGGCCACATTCCAGTGGAGTCACGGAGCGAGTGTCTCCGAGGAGAATTCCTAAGCTAGCATAGAGCAGAGGTAACTGCTGTCAACAGGAGAGCTGAAATTTACTGTCCTGCCGTGCTGATGAAGGCATTTTTTGCTGTTGTGCCGCTAAAGTGACGAGATCTATATCTTCTGACAGCTCTCTCACGTTACATTCAAGGTCATATGATAGAGTGCTCGGTTACATCACCACCTTAGAAGGTACTATAGAAAGCCTGAGGTGTGATGAGGAAAAGGTTACCTCCTTGTACTCCTGGATCTGGCTCTGCTCGAACATGGAGAACACGTTGGAGGATCCACCCTCACCCTGCTGCTGCCTCCTCTTGGCTTTCTTGGGTGCCTGTGATATGATGTGAGGTGTAAGAAAAGCCATACATACATGACATGAACTAAAGAAGCAGATCCTGGTTAACTCTCAAAATCATCATATGAAGAAAAATAAATCAATCAAATTTCTTCCTGATAAATTAAGCTTGGATTGGCAGTTTTGCCAGTTGAATCTATCTTTGGGGTAATGACTGAATTTTTCCCCCTCTTAAAAAAAATTATAAACTTTGAAACAATCACCCAATTTAGAATCTATGTAATGTGTTGAGGAGTACAATAATAAGGAATAGGTGCTCCCGAACTTTAGCTCAAGGCAGCAGATAACACTGACACTGGCACTCCTTCAAGTTCACTTCCTGGGATGTTGGTAGTCCAGATAGCAAATATCTTAATGATACGCCCATCTCATCATTTTAATGTAGACAACATCCTAAAGACTTTTTTTAAACCCTATGAAGTGGCCACACTCACCATCTCTCAAGTTTGTGAGGTTGTTGTTGGTCAAGAAGAGAAGCCTACACCAAGCCGATGTGACTGACATGTAGGTATTGGATGCCTGGGGTCTTATATACTAGCCCATAGGGGGCTAACTTTAGCCACACCATCAGGTTTGGCAGGAAAATAGAGCTGGGGTATAGTAAGAAAAAGAGGGAGGAGCGAGGAGGTGGCTGGGGGGATCGGTTTACTGATGATCCAAAATAGGCCGCAGAAGTCTTGGAATGAGGTGAATTCAATGCCAACAGTGACTTTGGTGTCATGTGCGGACTAATATGGACAGACGGGACACGGTAAAGGACAACTGAAACGTCTCCATTTTACTTACTGAGTCTTTGTCGTGGCTATTTCTGTCAACTTTATATATCTATTGTGAGACTTCAAAGCCCAGTGCGTGATGGCAAAGTGTCGCTGCTTTACTGCTTTAATACAGACACAGATGGGACAGTTACCCCGCAATCAGCACGGCCCGCTGCCTTCTATTAATTAATACTCCAGTGCTGCTCAATATCTCAGCTAACATTTCCTGAAGTCATCACCTGTCTAAATGATAGGTTTGATCTGAGGTTTGTGGCCATGGCCAGATCATTAGTGGCCATCAGGGTGTATAAACAGTTGTGAAACCTGAAAACAGTTGGCTGACGGACATTGGTCCAGGTCCAGCAATGACACACGACCACTGGGTCTCTGGAAAAAGTGACCGTGCATCAGTGAGAAATCCAAACAGTCCTTTTAATACTGCCTCAAGTAGCTGGAAATGCTCAGTGGAAAGAATAACATTGAAAGTGTGACTGGGAGCGGAACAAAATAGATCACAGAGGCCACCTTTACAGGGACTAAAGACAAAACAGGTGCTCACACCCAGGATAGTGAATCATTTTCTGTTTTACTGATTCAAGTGTAAGAAAGAAAAAAAAGAAACAGGCAAAATGATGATTGGACTAAATGACCAGCTTTACCGCCACGGGTGCACTAATTTGGGTTACTCCTCGAGGTTCCCAGTATAGTTGCTTTAGGATAGGAGGACAGTGACCCACCCACTAAACCCCATATATGAGTATCATTGGCTGGCCATCAATCACACAACTGTACAGCTTAGGTATGTATGTATTGGTATCCCACGCTGGCGTGAAGCGATCCAGAGTCTTAGCTGGCTCGTGGGCGTAGCGTTTCACGTGGCAAAATATGACCTAAATTATCTGCAATGTTTTGTAATGATGGAAAACGAAGCGCCCGATTGGCAAGGAGGAGGCAAAAAAATGTGTTGTATGTGAAGCCGATAAGCAGCCAGCTCAGCTGTAGGCTCGAAGGTTGAAAAAAGAAGCGATGCAGACACAGAAGGAGAAAGACCGAGCAAAGACCATGAAGACAAGACAGCTGTACAGACTGAAATAGCCCTGCTGCCCTCCTGCCATTCTCTTTCTCAGCCATTTCGACCCCCTTCTAAAATTTAGCGGACTTCACCCTTCTTGGCCCGTGTTGCCCCCCAGCCAACTGTCAGTCCTTTTTTACCCTGTCACTGGTAAAATTGTTTAAATCTGTGAGGCAAAATGGACTCATTAGGTCATCAATAATAATAGAGCCCAAAGGGAAATGTTTCCTCGATCGGACAATTCCTGATTTAAAATGGAAATGTGGCCAACTTTCAGCTACAGATTAACTCAGGCCTTTTTAATGGCTGGCAGATTTATTTCTTATAAACACGCCAGGTATTATCAGCTCTGAAGTAATGAAGCTGTTATTAATAAGCAAATTTTATATCACCGTTTCACAGTTTCTTTCATTCTCTGTCCTCGGTGAAATTTGTTCGGGCATGTTAAGACAGACGTGTCAAACATAAGGCCTGCCAAAGACTCAAATCCAGCCCACTGGAAAGCTTTGTGCGAAGGAAAAACTCTGTTTTTACAATGTGTTCACAGTAAAAAAAAAAATCAACAAAAGAAATTTACATTTTCTGTGAATTAACAGAAAATTGCAGTCTAGTTTTAAGCTACCAGGATCCTTTCTGTAATTTAACACATTTATTTCTTACAGTTTAATCCCAAAGAGTCGTGCGGACACATTTCTTTCATTTGCCACAGCAGCATTTCTTTAGTAAATGTGTAGTTAAACATTAAAGGACAGAAAGAACAGTTTTACTGATCCAGCCTCCTTAAAATCAAAATGTGGTGTATGTGGCCCACAGTGTAACACAGGCTTGACATCCATGTCTTAAGAGGAAGGTTTTCACCTGAACTGGTTAGCCATAGTATGTCCAGTATAGAGACAGTAGACTAGCTGGAGCAGATGGAGGTCATATTTCAGGTGTGTGACTTTATAAAAATGCCAACTTAGGAAATAACATCATTGCAGTGACAAACAAAGGTTAATAAAACAGATGATCATAGATCATTTATTGACTAATCTATGAAAAAGTAAAAAAGAAACAGCATGTTTCTGGAAGAAAACAAATATAACTATGTCAACTATATATTACCGACACATTTCTAATCCAGTGCACGTATGCATGATAAAGCTTCTCTATAAGTTAAGGGTTAGAAACAAAGCCAACTTTTATCATTCAAAATCTATCAAGTTTTCTTCCTGAACATTCGCACCGCCGTGTCCTTTCTTTGACCACATGACAATCAGTTCCTTTACTTCCTTTCCATAATCTTCATGCAGCTGGTTAAAGTCGTACTCCCCAATCGTCTGAAATGGATCAAACATAGGCACCGCGTTGGCATTCTTCTTCGATCGCAGTTTGGGTGATTTCTTACTGGCCGTCTTGGATGAAATGGTAAGAGCTTGTAGGTTTGGACAGGAATTCGGGCTGGGTGCTGTTCCCAGCGCAGATGAGGTGCAGGTGTTTGAGGTCACAAAGACGGCAGCAGGCTGGATGGCGCTGAAATTTGGCATGACAAAAGGTTTGCTTGGTTTACTGGAGAGTGCACCAAGTGCATCTGAAGAAAAAAAACAGTGAAATATAGAAATTAAGGAGCTGAATGCACATGAAGAGAAAGACAAAATCTGCTCATGCTGCATGTGTACGGCAGAGCTCCATCCACTTGCTCAATGACGCTTTAATCTAACCTTTAACTCTACAATCAGTGGGTGATCTATTCCAGCTGTGGGCTCTGGAATACTGAGAATCTCTTACTGATCACTACATGCTCAGAAAATGTACACAAATAAAGAACTGTGTCGTACATGCTAAGCAAACAGGTGCTAATCCAAGTTTTTTCTGTCAGTTTTTCTACATGATAAAAGAAATGCTGCTTTCTTTTATCATATCTGTAAAAACAAATATGTAAAATTAGCTCTGACTGTGTTGTAATTATAAAATGGAAATTGGGGGCAAATAACAGAATGTCTTTTTTTTCTTTTTACTGTGAACCTGCTGTAAAAACCATTAATGTCTATAGCATACAATAAAAAAAAAAACAACAGAAAAAAACCAACCAGGAAATCCATGTTGTTTCATTGTTTATCTGTTTCTTTATTGACAGTAGTGTTACAGGAATGACCATGGGGGAGGTATTTATCACTTGGAAAAGCTGTAAACTTAAAAAAAAAATACAGTTAAAAGTTTAACATTTAAAGTTGTCCTTCACATTTTCCAAAGCTCTCTAGTGGGCCAGGTAGGAGTCTTTGGCTGGCCGATTCTGGCCCCTGAGCCTCATGTTTGACACCCCTGAACTAAAGCTTTAGTTTTTTGTTTTTGTAAAACCTCTTTAACTTGATCTTTGTGTCTAGTTTTAGTTTAGTTTTTATTAGTTTCAGTTTTAGTTTTAGTCTTTTTTTGATTATAGCTGTAAGAAGGGCGCGTGTCAGAGGTGGTGGTTGACTCAAAGTGTGTCACAGAATTCTATCACACAGAAACTCTGGATATTTCCTCTATATTTTCATTTTTATTCACAAAATCATTTCAGTTACTTATACTTCTTTTCAAAAATCTAGTTTTTATTTTAGTCCTGTACCTCTCTCACACACACACACACACACACACACACACACTGATAAATGTATTTTGCCCGAGGATTCTTCAGTGTACAGACTAAAGGAGCTGGAGATCGAACCATCAACCTCCCAGTTGGACGCCCGCTCTAGCACCAAACATAAATCTAGTACGCTTTCTGTTTTACGAGAGCTTTATGCTCACACCTCATGGTCAGGACATCAGGTCCATAAACGGATTCAATGACTGATATTAACTTAATATCAGTTATTAACCACTTAAGTCAATGACTACTTAACAGGTGAAACTAACCGTCATTTTAGCCAGTTTTTAAGCAAAACGCCCCCAAATCTGTGAGAGCATTTCAACTTTGTTTTAATGAGACGTGTCTGTATATGACATGAGATCGATTTTGTGGTGGCTATGAGAAATTTATGACCGATCTTTAGAACAAAGCAGAACGATCAATAACAAATATTAACAATAAAAACTTGGTTGAAATGAACTGTGCTCTCATTACTACTCTGTTAATAGATAAAACATCAGTAGTGATCATAATGATGCGACTGATGCTGCGAGATCATAATATGTGCGTGTACGTGTGTGTGCGCGTGCGTGCGTGCGTGTCTACAGTATGTACCACAGTGTACCAGGTGTCTGATGTAGACAGTGATGCAACGCCTCTCGCAGCTGCCCTCCAGAACAAAGGCTGCTCTCTTTAGCCCCCCCTCTCCCCAGCAAAGATAAACCCGCTCCATCTTTCTGCCCTCACCTCTGTACTTCGACTCCATGTCCACTACAAGCAGGGCCAGGTAGCTGTGGCTGGCTGACAGCAGGGCTTTGATCCAGCTCTCCTGACTGGCCTGGTTCTCCGCGGCAAACTTGTACGTCCGCAGCCCCGGCTCGCTCCACACCAGCGAGAAGGCGAAGTTCTCCTCGGACTCGCACAGCTGGACGGTGCAGCCCTCCAGAACAATCACTCCGACCAGATCCCGGTCGGTCTGCCGGTCTTTGTAGAAGAGGAGGTTCCCCTTCAGCACGAACCAGCGCTTCTGATAGGAAGTCTTGATCTCACCCTGTGTGTGTGTGTGTGTGACAGTTGTGTTTTACTGACTGCTGTACA